AGCAATGATGTAAGCAATTATGATAGCCCTTGCCAAAGAAAAAATGAGAATGTCGCAGAAAATGTTTTGATGTACATACTTCAGACGAAGAAAAGTATTCTATATATTGATTATTTTTTTAGCGACTTCATTTACTTGTTAGATACACCAAATAATTGTCCAAGTACTTCCTTCAAACAGAAAGAATGTGGCGCGGTTAAACATGTTTGTGAGCGCTGAACACCCCTTCTAATCGGGGACATCGCCTTAATTATACAACATAAGAACAAACTATACAAATCAGTTGCAAATGGATTAAGGCAGTATACCCGTTAAAATAACAAACAAAAAAACCCAAAATAACGAGAATAATACTAAAGACACAAAGTAATGAGTATTCGCCTGAAAGTGAGTTCAAAACCAGTTATAACTAATCACTCGATCATGTTTTCCAGAATATAGTATTTATAATACATATCAAACGGAGTTATTGCTAAGGCGTCATAACCAGTCTGAGAGTCGCATTGACTTGTGCAATGACAAAATATAAGAAAACATGGTGAAGGATTATGAGAACTCATAATTTTACGTATACATTAAGTATATAGTTATGTTTGAGTTTTTATAAGAAAGCAAAATCAATGTTACTACCGATTAAAACAATATTTAAATATTTCACCACGATGCTAAATTGATAAGCATAAAGAATAAGGTTATTTAAAGGATCAATCGGTTTCATGGATTTATTTAAACTTACGGTCTTTACAAACAACATCGACGTACAAATTGTGATTTGATATCCCGTTTTAATAAGATTTCTACAGGTGCAGCTTACTTTTGAAAAAAAGTCTATGAAAACATTTGGTAAAAATTTAAATTAATTTTTGCTCTAACTTTGCGACATTCTCATTTAATAGTTTACAAGATATACGTAAATTCCGTTCATTGAAACATGAAACGCGTTTACAGACACAGACATAGCGAACAAATTGTGAAATATAAACAACGTAAGAAGGGGGAAAAGAAACATCACCGTCCAAAAAAGAGAAAGCGAACTCGCCGAAATACATAAAGCGAGTAGAAGTAGAGATAGTTTAATGTCAACCTTTGTACTAGTGCAGCAGATTTGTATTTACATGGTTGTTGCAGTGATTTTTGTGTATTTTCTTATAAGAACATTTTCGATGAAAACATTCGTTACAAAGTGTCACTCATGGCATGTTAAAGATACATCGTAATATACAAGATGACAATACTTTCAGGCAAAGTTTACACTGCATTCAAATGGATTTGGTCGTAATTTTAGGTCCCGTTGATCATATAGCTCATCAAATGTTTTGATTTTTATATATCCGTGGCTGTCAAATATTTGGTTTCTAGCGTTTTGGATAAAGGTTGATCCCGATAAACTCGAACGCATACAATCTATACAGCGTTATTTTCATTTTATTTATAAAGATTTAGCTGATTTGTCCTTTAGCAAAAAAGTATCAATTTTTCATTGACATTGTACGCTTCAATAGTTTTTAAATGTGACTTCATAAACAAATAAAGCAAATTAAAATAATACGAGATGAAAGTCATATGTCAACGACCAAACTACTGGGGAGTTATCTCATCGGCAATCATACCACACCTTCTTTTTTTAATAAATTTTCAAATTACTTTTGTCAGTCCCGAAAAGATACGTAAATTTCTAATTATAAATTCTAGTCAAATTGCAGATGCATCCACATGATGTAGAAGTTAACAACTATAGGTCAACGTGTGGCCTTCAACAATGATCAAAACCCATACCGTACAGTAAGCTTTAAAAGGTCTTGAAATGACAAATGTAAAGCAATTCAAACGAGAAAACTGACGGCCTAATGTATGTGCGAAACAACAAACGAAAAACAAACATGTTGTCTATTATCATTTTTATATATTTTTCATTTAATCATCGAAACTTATAAATATATATCAAACATTCGCACAGCGTACAATGATCAGGGAATTAATAAATCTAGAAGACAGGTTTTCCAATGCATTTACAATAATTGTTTGTAATTTAATTTTTATTACTATTGTAAAAAATTTCAGTTTTTTGTATGAGGCCTTTATTGTCTTCTTAAAAATTGATTACGTTTTGCATCTACATTAGGGTTACCAATTATAAACATTTTGTAAATAGGTATCGGTATAATGATACTCATGTTTATCTTTTTAAGTTTCCCAATCATTATGATTATTTTAAGAATTGAATGCTTATTTTTATAATGAAATTAGGGTTTGAGGTTGTTTCGGATTGCACAGAAAAAAATGTTCGTGTTACCGCTCTTTGTGTATACGACGTCACTGCTTGTCTGACGTTACCTTCTGTTTAGTTCTAATACAAGTTTCATTACAATCAGACGTCTTTCTTACTTAGCCTTATTTGTGTCCGATACAACCATTCAACGATAGGGGTATACATTTGTTGACCGAAGCACATTTTTTATGAAGCACAGAAACGCTTCATTCTAAAAATGTGCACACGAGTTTACAACCCTACAAAATTATAAAAAGAGGCATTCAATTCTGATAATTTATAATCTTATGCTACAACCATGAAATAAGAGTTATGATATCAAGCTTTTCGTTTGTTTTTTTACGCATTGTTCTAGCATTGTCACTGATAGCACGTGCAGTAAAATCTGTTAAAATAAAATTTGATATCATAGTGTCTCAAGATTGCTGTAAGGCAATCAATATAACGGATTGTAATGAAACAGTAATAGTATGTAATTATTTATAAATATAACATACATTGGAATTTGAATAATATAAAAAAAAAACTGACATATTCTTATTTATTTCAATCATTCAAATACAGAAACAATGGCTATCCGACAAATAGACTATGTGCTAATGATTTCATTGAGGACTTGGTGTCAAACAGTAGCAATATCTAACCATTGCTAGAAAGTGAAAACAACACTTAAGTAAACTGATGTGATGTGTTCGGAACGATTTTCATGTAATAGACAAAAAATAGTAAAAATAAAAATCCGTTTAACAGACGTTCATATCTGGTGGTTTGTCTCGAAATAATTTAGATACCACTTGAGAAAGTACAAAGTGTTTGTGTTTGAGTGTCTTTGCGACTGGTAGACGGGGTGTCAGGAACATCTTAGCTGTTTTTACAATGATCAATGTACCAAAAAATTTAATTACTTTGGTCACACGTATGCTTTGTTCATACTAATAATTATATTAACAAGTTTAATTCATATTTTGTCTAATTGCAATCAAAATCAGTTAATAGCGGTAACGTCGACTATATCACAGCGTGGATGGTTGAACGTATTCCGTTGTTGTTTTGTTTTTACATTTATGGATATTTAAGAATTTGAATATAATTAGAGAAATTTTATTATGAATTTGAAAACTTTTAAGAAACTAAGGGTTCAAATCCCCTAAGTCAGAGTTGACTTTTGGTGGATTTGGCTATTATGTTAGGTCCTTTTTGGTCATCTAGCTTTTTACCTGTTTCGGTTCTTATGCATCCTTGGCTTTGAAATATTCGACTTTGAGCGTTCCTGATGAAGGTAAATCCAGAAAAGCTCATGTCGAACGCCTCACATTCTTAAAGTGTTTTTTTATAAATTTTGTATGTAATTGCAGGATAATCTTATCGAACAAAAAATAAATTCCTTATTGATTACATTTGCATTTACAGAATTGTACCATATGCCATCAATTTTTCATGTCGAAAAACACAAAAATATTACGCGATATGAATACAATGGAATTCAATGTCCTGGATCGTAGACGATGCTTTTTTGGTTTTAGATTTTCAAGTGTCTTTTGATGAAGTAATGTGTATGTAAGAAAGAAAAAAGTAACTAAAATGCGGTTACTATTGTTTTGGTAGCTTGTGTCTTCGACTTTTTAGGTAATGTTTTTTATAGTGCTTAGTGTCGATCTAATGAGCCTTTTTTCAACTGATTTTTTTTAATTTGTGTTAATGTTGTGCTGTTACACCACTGTCTCGTATAAGGGAGCAAGGTGAGCGTTCATAAACTTGATGAAGCATGATACATGCATTCTGTTTTTGCCAGTCAGGTGGTCGTTTATAGCTTACTATACGGTATAAACTAGATTCTAAATTATGACCAAATTTTTTGGTTTTGAAATATACATTTTTTTTAAATTTGGTTTGAGCGTTCTTGATGGAGGTAAATCTAGGACGTATCAAATGTACAAAAGATTTTTTTTTTTTTCATATACTAGCAATGGATTTAAAGCACTGTTAGTTCGTGAAGGTGTCTTTGACTCAGTAATCAGGGCGTCAGTACTGGCATGATTTATAAATTGGCTTTTCTTAAATTATCCATTATCAAATAAATTAAAACATTGGAAACTACGGTCCGAAATCACAAAGGCAATCATGATCTTATAATATTTTTATATTCTTTTTAAGTCTGTTTTAGTTTTAATGCTCCTTCTTTTTTAGACATCCATATATCATTGGTTTTCAGTAATTAAGGGTTGAAAGTTCGTGATGATTGTAAACCCAGAGTAGAGCTTCGAACGAACAACACTTCAAACAGATGAAGCGGAACTGTTTTTAAAGTATTCATTCAAGGAAATGCACCTTTTAAGACTACAATTAATATTCACTCAAGAATGTATTACACACAATGTAAGTATGAGGATCTTGATCAATTTTACAGAAAAAAAAATAATTGGTAAAAAGGTCAAAATAAAAGGCAATCAAAATTAAGAATAGAGTCAAATAGGCAAAACAAATAAAAAAAAGAGAATATCGGGGTGTTGAAATATAAAGAATATAAAATGATGTTACAATAAATAAAGAATACAGGAAAATGGTATACAACTTTAAAGATTAAAGAATTGAAGGACCCCCTTCCCAGACCCTAAGTATGTGTCATCTGACATAAAGATTTGTTAAATGTTTTGTATCATGTAAACATGTTAAAGCCTAACAGGTTATTTAAATATAGTTGAAACTCTTAAGGAATATTTCTTCACGTCACTGTATTTTTAGTTCATTCTAAAGGAAATATTTAGTTCAAAATGGGTGACGTTGATAACGTATATGAACAACGAATAGAAGACCAGAATGCAGCAAACCACGAATATAGTATTCCAACTAATGTATGGAAAAATAAACTTGCCGACCTTTACAAAGCAAGAAGGAAAAGAGATAAATTATTTGTGCTCTTGATTGTAATGCAGTTGATTTGTTTATCAGTGGCAGTTGCATTCATTGTCATGCATTTCAATGGTAAGGATATTTCAATCTTTAACTTATTTTCAATTTATGGGAACACATTTATTGTTTCAAAGTTTCAAACATGTTTATAAACCAGTTGGCTGAAAACAGAACATGGTAGATAAAATAACAATATATGGAAAGACAATCGTATAGCTGACAGGCTACTCATCCAAATACAGAGAAACAAATAATATAAAAGTTGTACTGTTTTCAATTGAATAGAAATGAAAATGAACCTTATTGCAAATGATTTTATCATAGCCATAGTTATGAATATATCGATTTTTGTAGTAAAGTTTTCTCTGAAATTAATTTATTTTAAAAGATATCTTATTTTAAATACAACATAATAGATCTTTGGGAATACCTATGTTTCCGACGTTTTTAAAAGCATACACTTACTTCTATACGTTAGGTCAAACGTAACTTTTCACTTTACACTTCCAGTTTTTGTTATTGTATTTTCATACACTTCTTACAGTGATGCAAACAATAACCATTTATTCTACTGAAGGTAAGATTTCAACATATATGAATTTAAAAAACAAGTAACTTATTGGTGCACGCACCAAATGTTTGGATCGGAAACTACTTTTTTAAGACGGTGTATAAAAAGGATAGGATTTGTTTGAAGGTCATGGATGCCACCATAACAACCCTTTGGAAATAAATTTGGCAAAAGCAAATAAAGGTTTGCATTTCTTTGAATAACAAAACGATTTTGTTTTTCATTAATAAAGGGGCTTAATTCTGTAACAACAAATAACCCACAACCCAAATTTGACCTCTCTCTGTATGTTATATTCCTAATCATTGTGACATTTGCTTCTTTTTTTTAAGAGTGAATGTGAAGACAAGTTTACATCTTCATTACTATGGACTAGGCATATACATGTCAAAATAGTTACAGTAAATTAATGTGTGTACACCTGTGTTAATTATATTATTATGTTAAGTGTTGTATGTATGATGTGGTTCAGGTGTTAATATTATTTCTACTTATCATGTGAAATGTAAGTATAAGTGTTTAATTTAGGATTGGGTGCTGTCAAACTCTTCATGATTCACTTCGTCAAGTCACACGATAGTAAGTTACATAGTATTCGAGAAATAAAGCATAAAACTTGACCAGGTTAAAGAAAACACAAAGAAAGACAAACCAACATATTGATAGGGTCGGTTGTTTTTCGACCCCTCAAGAGACCGATCTCATACAAAGTAACATGATTGTAGCCAACCTAGTATTTGATAAATAAACTTGACCAACATTTGTACATACCTTAAACTTAACCAAGGGTATCAACTATGAGGTTTGGATCATGTTAGTTGGTACATGATGCACCTAAATACCAAGTACCATGGATGTATCTGTTCCTGCAAACTAATTTTAAACATGAACTCAGAGGGTATCTAAATATTCCGCATATACTCAATAAAAGTGTATTACTGATGTTTGCTGCTTGTGAGACATTAAATGTTTCATTTAAGTAGAGTTATGTTTATTTAATTTCGAATTGAGAATATTAATGGTTTTAAGAGACTACTGGCGTGTAGTAGCCATTCGGTTTTTGGTGTACATGTATAATATTATTTGGAAAATTTAAACAATATATATGTGGTTAAGATCAAACAATTGATATATAAGTGTAAACACATCGTTTTTTGTGTGTGTGAGGAGTATACTTATGTTTCAGTATATAATTTAGTTCTAAATAATAACTATTTATAATTTGGTTTCAAAATGTGCTACATTTAACTTCTTAATATGCTATTTTGAATTAAAAAAAGCTATCAAATAAAATCGCAATGGTTGATTTAAAGAAAAAGATTAACCTGTGAGTTTATCATCAATTAAGTCAGATGATACCGTGATGATGTTTAAAGAGCCCACGAATGGAGATGCCCTCATTAAAGGTTATCAATATAAAACAGTTACTTATTTAGATCTTTTAAATTGTTTTTTGGGTTCTATTATTGATACTTTTTTTTAAGAAATGAATGAAAAAATAACTTTATATTTAGGCTTTACAATTATGAACACTTTTGGTCCTACACCATCATGTCGATAGTTGACATGCTCTACGCTTAAGTAACTGCAAGTTCGGATATACATGTAAATGTATTGGTTGAATATTTTATATCAAATTGTAGGAGAACATGGACAAAAGGGAGAAAAAGGAAGCCCAGGAGAACCAGGTACAAAGTAGTTATCCGCCATTTTAGATTTCGAGTGTAGTGCATTGTTCGTACTCTCAAAAAAGTGAATTCTTATCGACGTCCTACATGCATCCTGTCCATACTTATACTTTGGCATTTTTCGACTTTTGGCATGTATATTGTTCTTTTTTGTTTAGGCATAACAATGTTATTCTCCTTAAAAGATTAACATAACTTATTTATTTTCTATATTACATTTATCTATGCAAAACCTTGAATTAAAGAAAAGATACCTTTGGTTTAGGTTATTAAGTTTTCATAATTCGAGAACAAAAATATATGATCTATGCTTAAGGAATCACAAGTTCTGATATAAATGTATTGGTTGAATATTTCATATTATATTGTAGGAGAACAAGGAAGACAAGGAGAATCAGGTACACACTTATGTTCCGCAATTTTAGATTTCGAAGGAAGTTCACTGTTCGACCCCCACAAATATTTATTCTAAGTGTCGTTGAAATCCTATTAGAGGTCGTTTTTTTATATATAATTTTTAATTTTAATGGCTTTGTACTGATAGACGAGCTCCTTCAAATCATCGATGTACGTGCGCGTAGATTTTACAAAAGAAGTAATAGAAGATCTCTTATTCATTCAATGGTTACAACTTTGACGATACTCGACTTCTAGTCGGTCTTTGTAAATTAAATTTCAACAGCGTTGTTCAGGAGCAAACTTATCAAGATGAATGTGTCTCCCTTGTTGTCTCTGGCCAATGCGCACATGTCAACGAATTTTGGTGTATAAGTTTCATTCATAGCACTGACAATCAATTGACATTCATTGTACTTATGTCGGGCGGGTTTGTGATGCTATAGATTATTGACTTGTTGATCCGATCGATGATATTTTTTTTTCTTATAATTTATAAGCTTAACCGTACCTTGTTTCACATGAAAGATCTGACGATGCCACACACATTGTTTTTTTAACGTAGGATCGAGCTCGTCGAGCATGTTCTTTTTGCACATTTAATTACGACTGTCCGTGTCGGAGGTAACGTTGATTTGCCGCCAGATCTATTGATCAGCATCGACCAAGGTCAAAGTGTTCCTTCTGCGTTCAGAAGTTAACGTTATCGTCCCAGGTCCGTAAAGTGCTAATCTTGTTGGTGCATCTCTACGGGCAAACTATTGAACACCTTATTCATGAAACCGCTGCCAGTAGTGGCAAACAAATTGTACTTGAAACCGCAAACGATGGACGTTCCAATACTTCGTCGCCGGTCGTTGATGGTCACATTCTCTCGAACGCATCTTTTCTTTACCAACATTTCAAGCAGTAGAACATCCTTTTTTTATATTAGATAGTTGTCAGAGGTAATCTGCAGAACACTTAATCCAGTTATACAGGGAGATGACTGCTTACCTATGAAGTAGATTTTCAAAACTTGTAGTTTTTTGCGACCATTGTTTCCAAAGACAACGTGCCAGGTTTCTTGAGACAAACGCATGTGCCTGGACGTGAATGGAAACCAATCGAACAGTGCAGATAATTCTGCTGTTAATGAGGAACAGAAACTATCATCAGCATATACAGCATTGATGTTGATAATGATATATGGTAAGCTGACATGAAAAACAGGCTTGATGTAATTATTCAACAAACACAATGTAGAGTAATGAAAATCAGAGGACATCAATCCATCAACCAACGTCAACCAAACCAAACCTCAGCAGGAGGGCGCGGTATTCAGAGCTGAACTACTAGAGACCATAAATGCTAGGGGCCTCAGCAGAAACGTCATTAATGTTGGGGCAGTCAATAGCGATTACGCGTTAAACACGTTCAACACCTTTCAAAGCGATCCATACCGTTCAAAATCATTCAACAGCGTTCAACATAGAGCGTAACATAACTTTCAACAGCGCTCATTACCGTTCAACGTTATGGAGTGTTTAACATGATTTGTTATGTTCAGTAACATCAACAGCATAACATGATATACATACAATGAGGTTTGTAAAGAGAACTGATCCTAAGCAGAAGGAATCGCTAGTATAGGTGATGCATGAGACAAAGGAAGACATTCAAGCAATCTAAGTAAGTTGCAACACCGTCTATACAAACAAGAATAGCCGAGATCTCTCCAAAGTGTTCCAAACCCGTGGTTGACGCTCAAAATTAGACGTCTTCTCAGATAAAAAGAAAGAAATATAGGACATTCCAACAATGCTACCATATATCATGCCTGCGTTTTTCTCGCTGAGGAGTTAGTCCTGTAGATTGGTGACAGCATTGTGAGTTTGATCATAAAAGCACAAAACGTGGCATGGTAGTAGTGTTCGGTGTTTTAAACAATGACCTACCTTGAAATTTCAATATGGCGGCTTTTTTCAAGATGACGACCACAAAATATCAAAATCAACAGATACCACTAATACGAGGTCAAATGTGGCATGGTAGTAGTGCTGGGTGTTTCGAACAATATAAGCTTTGAACCATATTTGAAATTTCAATATTACGGATTTGTCCAAGATGGCCGCCATAACAATATCAAAATCAACAAACATCCCTTTTATAAGGTTACAAAGTTCGTTTTAACGTACCTTCAGTTAAACTAAGTGTCCTTTCATGCCAAGTGTATGCCACATTAATATACTAAAACCAAACATCAAAAAATTTGCGAGGAAAATATAGTAAAACGTAATTACGGTTACATGCTTGCAGAACAGTAGTCTACAACGAGGGGTCACGTATAGACACTGGTGTTATTCTAATATGTAATCTATACTTAATTAGAATGTGTAATTCTCGACGCGAACAGTTTTGCTTATGATCAACTGGATGAGGACATAGTAAGGATCTACAAGTTTGCATTCCTGCAGTAAACTCAGTCTTGCCAGGTCATTACCAAGGCAGGTTCTTGCTTCGTCACTTAAATGATTATTGTGGTGTAGCAATTAAATGGTAACGCCAACAATCTGCATGTATGGTAGAGAGGCAACGCATGCGGGTAGTTCACAAACATTATGGAAACAAGGTATATATTCAAAGGAACCTTAAAGATAAGATATAGACAAACGTCCTTTCCACAATCATTAAAACCATTAGTTGATAATCGGTCGGCCAAATATTCAGATCAGTCGATGTATTCCATTGAGGCAAACACGACGCTAACCATTTCGAATTTACTTCTGTTTTGTTGCTGTATTCTCATTTCATATTACATTCAACTGAACTTGAACCATCTATTAATGTATATAGACCTACTGTATGCTAGGACCAGAAAAGGAGGTTCTTAGTGACAAAAAGTACAGTTTATATTTGTCGTTCATTTATGAACCAATTATCCATGTATCTACAGTACTAGAAGATTTCATCTATGAAACATTCAGCATTAAATATTTGGTTTCTCCCGCGAAATCTGATTGTTTTACAACAGCAGTCGTGGACAATATTGACAACAAGACTAGAAAGCGTTACATAGTGCGATGATTTCAATATATCAACACTTTCTTAATCTAAATTTGTAAATTTGTGATAACCCTAAGCTTGTGCTTTGAAATATATCCATTTACCTTAAATTCTCTAATACTTTAACCAACATATCATTCGACAGCACAACTGTTCGTATTATTCCTATAACTTAATATAATTTTATATGTATATTTAACAATTCTTACTATAGAATAAGATATGCATATATCCATAATACTAACAAAATGCTTGATTATTTCATAAACATGCGTTTCATACTTAAAATTGAGAATGGAAATGAGGAATATGTCAAAGAGACAACAACCCGACCAAAGAGCAGAAGGCCACCAATGGGTCTTCAATGCAGCGAAAAAATCCCGCACCCGGAGGTGGTTCTCAGCTGGCCCCTAAATAAAATCGTGTGCTAGTTCAGTGAAAATGGACGTCACACTAAACTCCAAAACATATAATTGAACTAAAATTAAAAAACATACTAGACTAACAAAGACCAGAAACTTCTGACTTGGAACAGGCGCAAAAATGCGGCGGGATTATACATGTTTTGTGAGATCTCAACCCTCCCCATATACCTCCAGCCAATGTAGAATAAAGAAACACATAGCAATACGCACAGTAACACTCAGTTTAAAAAAAGTCCGAGTCCGATGTCAGAATAGGTAACAAAAGAAACTAAGCAAACTGAGAATGATACATAAATGAACAAAAGACTACTAGCAGTTACTGACATGCCAGCTCCAGACCTCTATAAAACTGATTGAAAGATTATGTCTTCATCATATGAAATTCAAGTACAATCCCTCCCGTTAAGGGGTTAAGTATCATACCATCATAAAATATATGAGAAGAACATAACCCGTATCATGCCAACAACTGGTTTTAGAATAAATGTGTTTATTTCCGATGCAAAGACCCTATGAGTGAATCAATATTAATACCAAAATATGCAATTCTTAATGACTTGACAACAGTATCGTAACTATATCTATTCCGAATAAGTCTGTTTAAAGGTTTGGTTAGCTTTTGAGATGAATGCCGACATTTTTGTTCTTTGTAAAGAATATTACCATAAAATATTGGATGTGAAATACCTGAACGTATAAGATGTCTGCATATTGATTTATATTTACGAATGATGTCCTTGTACCTTTATGAAGAGCCAGGACAAATGGTTGCCCGGCTTTATCTATCCGTTCGCATTGGCCAATGTTTCCGGTAGAGATTAAATCTGTCACAACCATTCGACATTCCATTAAATATAATCTAGCAATGTGTTTTTTTTCCCAGACATATATCAATTATCACTTGTTATCAGTCGTTTTTTGCTTTCGCAAAATGGTAACAGATTCCTGTGTGATTGGTTAGAAAACAGGGGCTTGACAAGTGTTAAATCAAGGAAACATAGGACTTCAAAAATAGCAGATTATATTTTAGAGTCTCTCAAGCATTTTAAACAAGACATTGTCATAAGGTTGCAGCAAGTGTATTTATCATTCATATGCAAAGATCCTGACATAATTTCTTTGCAGGAACACCACCCTGGTGAGAACGATGTAACATTTAAAGAATGCAGTAATAAGAGGGAATTTGATACTCCAATCATTGTCACATTAACGTATAATGTCTGTTTTGGGTTGCTCACCAATTTTGTCAATACTAGTATAACAGAACTATAAACAACTGCCATACAAGTGGCAGTTTTAGCTAGCTATAAAACCATGTTTAACCCATCATTTTCTTCGGAAAATGCCTGTTTCAAGTCCAGAATATGGCAGTTGTATTTAACTTGTTCCGTTGACTGATGGCTTTTGATTTTTTTTCAGTTTTTATGGACTTCCCCCCTTTTGCATTTGCCTTGGAGTTCATATTTTTGTTATATCGTCTTGACCACAACTGGTCTGCAACATTAAAGATTGAACTGGATATTATGATGTGAGATCATCAAGAGAATGTTCCATCTTGGTGTTTAGATATTCCATTATATTGTTAATACATTGGTTCTTTGCATTTTTCCATCCAAATTAAGGCTTCTAGTACGCGATATCATGCCAATTAACTATACAGTTCAAGTGTTACAAACGTAATTTGAAAAGGGTAAATGTAGATCCAGCCGATGAGTAAAATTACACATTTTTAATTAAAGTTGGGCAATCCGCTTGAAAAGACTAAATGAGCAACATGATGAAAATACTGTTGTAAAAATATCTTGTTGTTTTGATGATAAAAAAGATGGAGAAAATACTTAGTTGGCACTTAAAAACCAATAACACAATGAAAACAAAACGACAAAAGAACTAACACATGTCAAAAAATCACAAGGCAAACATCTAAAAATTTAACAACACGAACCAAGGTATTATTTCAGGTGATGAAGAAGGGTAAACAGTTCCTGTTCCACATCGACAATTGCCCCGGTGCTCTTGTTTAAATACATTGATGAGTCATTTCCAGTAATAAGGCATGTATCATACAATAGTGGATTTATAAATGTCTCTTTTCTAACCCTTGCTATCACAAAATTTAAAAAATGTACGAAAACCATCGGTACTTGTAAATTATATAAAACGTGACCAAATGTTAACGTTTTAAATGAAATTAGGTTTCCCATGCTTGTACGATGGATAAACAAGACATTCACTGGTGAAGAACAGACGTTGAAAAATAAAAGAGCAAATAATACAACATTGAAATCATAAACACAAGCCCCTTTTCATCAAAACTAGGGGTCAACGCAGGTGTTCCTGAAAGGTGAGTAGTCTCTGGCCAACTGGTAGCACTTGTGCTGTTACTCGTTGCAAGTGGAAATTCGGTGTTAAGTCGTATTTGTTAATTATCTTGATGTTACAAACGAGGAAAGAGAAAAAATGCGACAAACACAAGTGGAGCATATCCATAGTTATTTGTGACTCAGATGGTACTTGACGGTCAAACTAATCCCATTTGCGTCCTAAAACAGTCAAATGTTTCCATTTTGTGGAACCCTTGATTGAATTGTCTTGCAAGCAGCAACCATGTCTCAATGATACGCAATCCCCAGAAATCGTATGAACTGCAAAGTGCAATTCAATAGAACAAAGCCTTTTTTTCCGTTTTGTTCGTTTTTTACTTATTGGCGGCCGTTTTGAAAATTTCCACCAATTTGAAAAAAAAATATTATTTACTTTCGTTTATATATGGTTGTTCTAGTACAAACGGGTGAACAGACTTACTGACGAATTGATGAATGGACGCACGAACCGAAAAACATATCGTCGTTCTACTATCGTGTAAAGGACCAATAAATCTTATATTTTTATTAACGACCTCGCATTTCACATGTATTAACAAAATATAAGCAACTGTGTAATATTTAAGTCGACATGAGTCATCACTCTTTGGAAAATTATGATAAAAGTTCATAATCGGCGTTTCGTAAGTATTTTTCGTAGGGAATGGGACTTCTATTCTACATGTATATATGCTGGTAATAATATATTAATATTTTCGTTTTAAAAAATCAGGCCAAAATAACATGTACGTCCAATAGAACAATAATAATAAGATAATATTCGAAATAAAATATTCTTCGTACTTTTATGTATTTCAATATAGTAATTCTATTTTTCAAAATCCCATCATATAATACTAAGAAAATTAGTCGATTAACTTACAACATTATAGAATTTCATAAGTATGTATCAAGTTAAGGATTATCCTAATATTTTGATTTTTGTCCTATTTGATTCGACTTGTAAAAGATATGTTTTATAATTGTCAACCACATGTGCCCGTAAACCGTTGAAGAGACGATTTATACTTGTGACGAACAGTGAAGAACACACGAGAGTAGCTTTCTTGTAAGCAGAAACCCTCTAACAATAAAATCCTAATAAGAAACGCAATTCCTTAAGTATAATATCAACCGATAATTGTATACTTACGAGGAAAGTGTCACTGGAATGTTTTTTATTCTCTTGCAGTTAAACAACTGACTTGTTCGGATGGATGGGAACAGTTTATGGGCAGTTGTTATTACTTTCAATTCAGATACAAAAAGACATGGCATGCGGCAATGGTAAGTCTAATGGTGCTGCAAATCGAATAAATATATCATAGCATGGGCCAAACAATCAAAGTGAAATATTACAACCAAAGTATCAAAGACTTAAGAACATTTTTAGTCAACAACATCGCTTGAAAACAATGAAAACAGCCCGTTATACATTTCTTAAAGGGGAGAATATACCAAGGGGGAAATCAAACACCAGTCAGAGAAAAACAGAAAAAAACACCACTCCCATAACTACTACTCAGAAAATCAAAGATCGAGCAACATGAACATCAGCAATAATTTTTGCAATCTAATGTGTTCCGGAGGGTTAGTAGTCTCCGCTGCACTAGCGTGTTGCTTGTGGGAAATAAACAATATGTGATGAGTCCCATGAAATTGTTTCGACAAGTGAAATATATCCGTGGTAATAGATCGGTTATACAGAAATGCAATGAAGGTCAACCAATCATTATTGCTTCTGTAAGATAATTGCAACTTTACCATGAAGAACCATTGGTTCAATATGTACACTCCAGAAACAGCAACCTCGTTTAGGTATAAATTGTAACAATTTTGTAAAAAGGATCATTCCTATAAATGCACGTTCAATTTATTTAATGCATGTATGTTCATTGGAAAAAGTCACGTTTATTTCCCTAATAATTCTGAGTACCTTTTTGAATTCAAATATCATTTATCAACTTTAAAAAACTAAAAACATACATTTCACCAATTTATATACATCAGATGTCTGAATAGTTGAGTGTTGACAACTGTTGCATCCCATCCACATATTAGAAGCTTTCCTTCTCAACAGGATCATTTGGTTATGAATTGTCATTGATATTATGATCATTATAAATTAACTTTTTAGAAAACTTTGAAATTTTTCAAAATACTACTGATTTTTGACCCAGGAATATATTACCTTAGCGTTTTTTGGCAAAAACTTACTTAATTTTGAGTCCTCGATGCTTTTCAACTTCTATAAAAACTATTGTTCTTTGCCTTTTAAACTTTTTTTATTCGAGCTTCACTGATGAGTTCATTGGGTATCAATAAGAACATTTTTTTTTGTAAAGAGGATCATTCCTATACATGCATGTATGCACATTGAAAAAGTCACTTTTGTTTCCTTGATAATTCTGAGTTCGTTTTTAAATTTGAATATCATTTATCGACTTTAAAAACTAGAAACATACCTTTTAAATTGTATACATCAGATATATGATTAGTTGAAAATTCACATATGTTGCATCCCATCCATATATCATAAGCATTCCTACTAAACAGAATTATTTGAATACAGATCTACATATAAAGTCAGACATTTCAACCATTTAGATGGTTCTGTGGTAGCAACTTATACATGTTTATCTGCTTGCAACGTTAAGGACTGCATGCTTAATTATATGCAAATATTTAATTGAGGTGGAATCATTAACGTCAATAGTTCATGCGTCAGAGAATAAATCGAGGAGAACCGACGATCAGTCCAAGGATTAAGATACGAGTGATATGAAAACAAAATATTTTTTTTATCGCTCGGTTGAATTCATTTTCTTTCAAAAAGCCATATTGACCACTCATTTATTTTCTTTTTCGATTGAAAGAGTCCACAAAACTAGTAATTAATAAGGAGTATAACTAGCTTATTTCTTTTTTATGTGATGTGCTAATTGAAAGTGAAATAATCTTGTCGAGTAAAAGATTGTTTTTCTTCAAACGCATGTACGAAACTCATTTCATTTTAAATTTTCAATATAACCTAACTATCTCATTTTTTAATATATATCATGTTTATCAATGTGTATTAAGACATATGTTTTTGCTTAAAGTGTATGTAGCGGTACTTCCACTGACTTAGTAGATATGTAACCGCACTGAATTAGCTTTGCTAGCGGAATACCTCTTTATCTCTGTTGGTATAGCGATCACTTTCTGTACCAGGTGTCCCGGGTTGACACCCGACCGGTATAGGGGAACTTTGAAGACAAATCAGGCTCTGTTATTATACTGGGTACTCAAACAGATTAACCTGAAGAGAATAAAGAGATTGGTTTAGTTAAGAATGGGTTTGAAAGCGAATATCGCTTTGTATGGTATAAAGACTTGTTAAGGCCAGAAATCACCTTAAATTTGAAGTCAACATACAAATAGAAATGTCAACTAAACTGTTAAAATATCTGCATGTCCGATCCTAAAGTTTTTTCTTTATCCGGAATTCTTCCCTTAACTGTAACGGAATTCAACGGAATATTTATTTGTCCAATTATTTCACGAACTAGCATGATGTTGTTAACGTAAATAAAAGTGTCAATCCAACAACTCCAGAGATCATCTGAGAATATTTATGTATTTCTGAATATTAGTACATTTCAGCGTCTGTATATATAGTTACAATGGAAACTTCTAGAACACTATAGAATGGGAACTTCTAGAACACTATAGAAGGGAAACTTCTAGAACTCTTTATAAGTTTATGATCATTCTGGAATTAGTATGTAAGTCAAATAGAAAGTTCTAATCATTCAATCAGTAACTACGATTGTTCCAGTGATTTCCAAACTGCACAATAACATTATTTTGTAAACAACTATAAGTAGGTCACAGCCCAATTATGTAACCATCTGAGCTGTGTCAGATAGAAATCGACCTTATGCAAGTGTACGTATACATGTACATGTATAAGACTTAAATTGATTTTGGAACATTCAAATACGAAATAAAAGATAAATTTTTGTCTGTTTTGTAGATTTTTCTTATAACAGCTTTCAAACAGTTACAGACTTTCAATAGAGATTTTTTCAACCCAAAATAGGTTAACAGATGTATTGATATTGATTTGCATCAGGTCGATTTCTATCCGACGCAGCTCATCTTATAAGGCCACACAAAACAAATCAGGCCAAGGTTAATAGTTACAGTAATTACAATCTGATAACAGACTATTGAGATGGGAAATGTAGGGGTGCTTTCCCTTACTAAGTAGATGAATAATCGCTTTCCACTAGTTGTGCAAGTGAAGATCTCATTTCGCACAGTGTTCAGATCAACGATCTACAGTGCCATGGGTCTTGGGTTGGACTTTTTTTTTTGGAGATACTGTTATAAGACAAATCCTTCTCTACGTAACATAAAAAATACAATCAGAGGTTTGTTATATTGAGTATCACATGTTAGTTTATCGTTGAGCGTATCGATACAAGACATCACATACAAATATCTAAAGTGATTTTTTTGTTCATGTTTATCCATTGTTACTCCCTATTTATCTGTTTTCAGGTGATGTTTTATACATGAAAATAACTCTTTATGAGTTTAGTATGTATAAAGCCTTTTTTGGATTAGGTACAATCGAACTGTAAACTGGAAAGCCAAAGATGTATAAGTACTTCTTAGGAAGAAAGATAAGCAGCTAGCAATATCCTTTAACTGTACGTACCGCTATAGATGATGTTCTCTCACTAAACAATACAAATTTGGTGACTATGTTGAACGAATCTATCCCATCGAACTAGAGATAAAGAATACTACAGAAACAGTTAAGTCTGCCTCATATCTTGACTTACATCTAGAAATTGACAATGAGGGTCGGTTGAAAACAAAACTTTACGACAAAAGAGATGATTTCAGCTTTCCAATTGTGAACTTTCTATTTCTATGTAGCAACATTTCAGCAGCGCCTGCATACAGAGTATATATCTCCCAATTGATACGATATTCCCGGGCTTGTATTTCCTATCATGATTTTCTTGATAGAGGATTGCTGCTCACAAGGAAGCTATTAAACCAAGAGTTCCAAATGGTGAAGCTGAAATCATCCCTTCGTAAATTTTACAGACGCCATCACGAGTTGGTTGACCGTTATGGAATAACCGTTTCACAGATGATATCGGATATGTATGTTCCTTATGTCGTAACAACAGTACCCTTCCCTTTTCACGAATATGACCTACCGAATTAGACTATTTACCGGATTCGTAAAAAACATGAGCAACACGACGGGTGCCACATGTGGATCAGGATCTGCATACCCTTCCGGAGCACCTGAGATCATCCCCAGTTTTTGGTGGGGTTCGTGTTGCTCAGTCTTTAGTTTTCTATGTTGTGTCATCTGTACTTTTATTTGTCTGTTTGTCTTTTTATTTTTGGCCATGGCGTTGTCAGTTTGTTTTCGATCTATGAGTTTGACTGTTCCTCTGGTATCTTTCGTCCCTCTTTTACTTCACTACGCCAGGAAGTATATACAACAGGGGACATAAAAAGAATATTTATATCAAATCAATCTAAGGCCCAACTTCCCCAATGGAGTTGAAACTTTAGTTTCTTAATGATTGATAAACTTATCAACTGATAATTTGAGACATATAAGACCATGCTCGACAAGAATGAAGATAAAAAGCTAAATTCACTATTTATTTATTGGTTAAAATATGACATTGAACTAGTTTTCAGCAAAGATCGATATTTTGTGTCGGTTGTCCTTTTATTTGTTTTTAGTTTAGTTCCGATATAATGAGTCATGCCCTTTCCATTTTATGTTTACATTTTGTCCTCACATTGTGTTGATTCATCACTTTCACAGGTTCGGGTTGGGATTATCGCTCACAAACATGATAACTCCGATACATTCGTTATGTGCCTGGTCAAAGCCTGTTCACCAAAATTGTTTTTCGTTCATAAGGATTAATCAGGCAGTTGCTTTTTCTATTACATTGTCTAACATTCCGGGGCATATTATAGCTTATTATACGTTATTGGTTTTGTTCATTGTTCTAGGCCGTACCGATAACCTATAATCCTTATATCTGTGTACTTTGGTCTATGGTTAGTTGTCTCATTGGCAGTGATACATATATTTTTTGGTATCTATAAGTACTTAAATACTAGGGAACATATAGCATTTTCAGATAGTAAAATCAAAAATAATATCTTGTTTTAAAGACATCTGGATTAGATATTGTCAAATAGGGGGTCTTAATATTCTGTGGGAACAATACACTAGTACTCAATGGTGTAATAACTCTCTTGAATTATTAAAAAAGTGTGCGTATGCACTAACTGACCGTTATGACAAACCATTATAACCTAAAGTTCAACTTCAAGAGAACCAGGTTTATCCAAAATTGTACACGTATCACCTTTCTACGTGCCAATTCTCAACCTATTTTAACATCTTGTAGTTTGACACATGATGTCCCGATAGTCACTCACAACTATAAATAGCACTCTGAATTCTAAAAATCGTCACTGAGCATTTAATGTAGCACATTAACCATAGAGTTGTATTAAAACTTCTTGGACAAGTAAATGTGGGTTGAAATTTTAGTAAAAAAAAAAACAGCAAAAGCACTATGATTTTGTCTGAGTTGGACTTCTTTTACATCAAAATAAGGACCGAATGATTCAGGCTCTCCTTCGAAACGATCTCTTTTACTCGCTTACGTATAGCAGTTGTATATTACAACTTCATGAATCGGGGAAATATCATATCTTATCACCGTTTATTTCTATGCTTTGTTGACCATAAATTAAGAAATGGCGGCATAGAATATAATTATGCAAAATAATAGATATCCACATTGTATGTTTAAATAAACAGACTTATTCGGAAAGGATATGGTTACGATACTGTTGTTAAGTCATTAAGGATTGCATATTTTGGTATTAATATTGATTCACTCATAGGGTCTTTGAATCGGAAATAAACACATTTATTCTAAAAGCAGTTGTTGGCATGATACGGGTTATGTTCTTCTCATATATTTTATGATGGTATGATACTAAACCCCTAACGGGAGGGATTGTACTTGATTTTCATATGATGAAGATATAATCTTTCAATCATTTTAACTGAGGTTTGGAGCTGGCATGTCAGTAACTGCTAGTAGTCCTTTGTTCATTTATGTATCATTGTCATTTTGCTTAGTTTCTTTTGTTACCTATTCTGATATCGGACTCGGACTTCTTTTAAACTGAGTTTTACTGTGCATATTGCTATGTGTTTCTTTTTTTCTACATTGACTAGAGGTATAGGGGGAGGGTTGAGATCTCACAAAACATGTTTAATCCCGCCGCATTTTTGCGCCTGTCCCAAGTCAGGAGTCTCTGGCCTTTGTTAGTCTTGTATGTTTTTTAATTTTAGTTCATTTATATGTTTTGGAGTTTAGTGTGACGTCCATTTTTTACTGAACTAGCACACAATTTTAATTAGGGGCCAGCTGAGGACATCATCCGGGTGCGGGATTTTCTCGCTGCATTGAAGATCTGTTGGTGGCCTTCGGCTGTGGTCTGCTCTTTGGTCGGGTTGTTGTCTCTTTGACATATTCCCCATTTCCATAATCAATTTTGATAGTACGTGTAAATAAATAGATAAATTGATAAATAGAAAAAAAAATAAATCAATAAGTAAATAAATAAATAAATTAATAAATTAATAAATAGATAAATGAATGAATGAATGAATGAATGAATGAATTAAATAATTAATTAACTAATTCATTTATACATTCATTCATTCATTAATTTATCTATTAATTTATGTATTCATTCATTTGAATAACTAATTAATACTAGATAAATAAATACATAAATGAATAAATGAATAAATAAATAAACACATAAATAAATTAACGCATAAATAAATAAATAAATAAATAAATAAATAAATAAATAAATAAATAAAAAGCTTTCTAACTGAAGTGTTATTCATTTTTTTTAATGATTTTTTAATGATGGTCTTCTACTCAATCTCAAATTGTCAAACATTTTTTGGTTTACATTATGAAAATAGACAGTTCTTATTTGCGATCCAAAATATACAATGATAATTGTTAAATGTGATGAAAACTTCTGTTGCTTTTTGGGGTTCCTATTTTTTTTTTTATTTCCGACCCGTTCTAAACCTATACAGTATGTCTTTCCTGATCATAATACTTGTATGGCATTTTCAAAAGGTAATCAAAGCTGTTATTGTTAATTAAAGATGTTATAAACAAAATTGATTTGTTTATGAGACATATCCAACATATCGAAGATGTTAATGCTTGAAGGGATATTCGTGTTATCAATGCATGATATCTGATATGCAACAGATATTTCGAAAAACGTGAATTAATACGAAACGGTTTATATGTTCCATCATAATCTTAACTGTCATCGATTGATGCATTCAATCGTAATACTATTCATTTGTTTAATGTATATTTTACATGTTCATCAATTGTTGTGTCTATGTTTATTTTGATATGCAACGCTAAATGTGATATGTGCACTTATGCGCTTAGTCCTATGTCTTCATCTATAAATTGGTGTCAATGTTTGCATGTATTTTATTTAAAACAAGGAGAAGTGGATTGATTACAAATGCGGCAACTAGCAACGAAAAACCATACAACAAAGATGTTAAACGTTACAGGTCCCTGGATGGCCTTTAAGATGAGCAAAGGGCATACACTATACAATTAACTGTACATTGCCCAAATGACAAAACCTGTAAAACAAGTCATTAGAGCATCATTGATACTGAAGCAATAAACGGAAAACAAGTATGGCAGACAGACATCAATGACAACTTGATTACCTAGCTCATACTTAGAAAGGGCACATTATGAATGTGAAGCGGATAAAACAAACTTATGATCCCTCAATCCTCCTCCAAAGCTACAACTAGAGCACAAATCAGATGGAAAGGGTATGATTCATCAGATCAGTAGTTTAAATCACAAAACAGCAAAAAGACAAAGACAAAAAGCATTTATCAAAGAGTACACGCAGTTACTCAAATCTAGTTAAAAGACAAATTACAAATTAACAATACACCATGATTTCCCACACTTTATTAATTGCTTTAAGCTATTTCCATAAGATTGTTAGCATGAAGTCAAATTATTTAAGTATGATTTTGTGTTTTAGGATGACTGTCATGGAAAAGGAGGATTCCTTGTAAAAATAGACAATGCCGTTGAAAATTGGTTCTTAAAAACATATTTAAAAGCCGGTGAGTTAACTTTAAAATATTATTGAAAAAACGCAATGCATCAGCAAATATGTGTATGAATATGTGTTATGGTTTTTTGTTTCAATCTAAAAAAATAAAACTACATAACAGGATCTTGAACATGATGAAATCACTAAACAAATACCTGCTTATCATTTATATATCAAAACTTGTATTTTGCTGATAAAACAATTTTAAAATTTCAATCAAATGCAACGAGTGGCTGGCACAGAAATTGTTATATTGTGTAGGTACCACTGTGTTAGTAACACTGAGTTCTGAATATTCCTATTGAGAAATCACCCATCTCCACGATACATGGGTTTGGTATTAGAACAACAGAAGCGAGAATCCCTAATATTGCTGAAGATATTTCAATGTATTTCAAAAACTTTACTTGCATTCCCTATAAAAAAACTGGTCTCCTCCATAAAAATTCCAAGTATAGAAATAAAAAAGTATTAATTTGAGAGTCGCTTATATCAGCCATTTTTAGAATCTGATGAAGCCAGTCTCCATACCATTTTGTTTGGACGCAACCTAAAGAAGATTTCGAAACGTTGGTCTGTAACAAGAATAGGCAAAGTAAAGTATACTACATACTGTAAGAAACTAAAAGAATCAAACAATTTGTAATTACAGAGAGTCACCTTAAGGCGAAGTGTACGTAATTAACTACTCTACAGATTTATTTTAAATTTCACATATGGATTTTGCTTGTAAAAATACACCAGAAAATAAAATCAAAATAAAATAAAAAAGGGGGTAACCGTTTTTGTTTTTGAGATACGAGCTTTTAAGATTAGTAGCACGATACGCCAAAAATACAAAGGATACATAGTATAAATCATAAAAATCGGCAGATTTTTTTACATAATCACGATTTTCTATGATGTTGGTCCACAGAATTTGTTTAAAAATTGATATACGATTCAAAAATGAACGACAAATGCATTGGTGCAAAGAAAGTCCTAAGCAACCGTGCTAGTTTTCAAGCTATATCCTGTGGAAGTTTGATTTTAGCGGAATTTTTTTTAAATATTCGACGACGTTATTGATGTCTACTGTAACGTCGCCACAACTTCTACGCGGTAACGCTATTACACTGTACAATGTCGTTTCACAATCATGAGTGTGTATCACCCATTTTCCTAATTATTGCATATGCTCAAGCGTAATCAATTGATAAGGAAATAAACCGACAAAAAAAATTCAAATTGGCAATTAAATGTACTGCAAGTGAAAGAAGGTTACTGTAGGCTTTAACTCCATCTTTTCTAAATTACAATTGTCCTCACAATTATCCACACCTTTTTTGTAATGCTTGTATTGTCTTTTTTTTATGAATCAAAACTCGAGTTTGAATTTGTCCCGGTAAACACAGAGTTGACAGAATAATTTTATACATATTTGATTATTCGGTTATGATATTGGGATCGCGTAAACACTTCTTTTTTAATCTTATTTCTGCATGTTTGTATTTAAAAAAAAGTAAACCTAATTTTCTGCATCTTTTCATCCTCACCATTTCTGATGCTATTCAAGATATTGTGCGCAATATAGTCTACAACAAAACCCATTTTATTTGTCTGGTATACAAACATGCACGTGACACAACTCTGCAATTTTTTTTTTCTTCAAAAGTTTCTTTTCTTTAAACTACACGACAATGCTTGATGTAATGTTTCTGGTTGAATTGAGTTTAAGTAACAAAAAAAATATTTCTTGTAGCATTATTTGTTAAATATCCACATACACGGCTTCCAAAAAATAAGAAAACTGTATCTGCATATCATCTTGAGAATTGTTATGGCTGAAATAAGGTCAAAAGAAGAACCCACATACACATTTTAACAAAATAGATCTGATCGGAGTTTTTTTATATAACTTCCCGTAGAACATATTTTATGCGTATTCGAAACGAAAACATTTACCTAATATGATACTTTAAGATCGATGTACCTAGTTCATTTACTACAGGATCATTCTCAGTGTTACGCCATAGCATTGTGTATATTGTAATGCTATAGCATTATGTATAGTGTAATGCTATAAATGTACTGGTGTAATGTTATAAGAATGTACCAAATGCGATGTTATGAGAATGTATCCAGTATGATGATAAACAAATGTACCTAGTGTAATGCAAGGAGACTGTTCATAATGTAATGCTATACAAGTTTGCCTAGTGTAGTGCTATACAAATTTTGCCTGTATATATTGCTTTTCTATTAATATAATATTTAAATAAGGAGATGTGGTATGATTGCCAATGAAACAACTATCCACCATAGTTTAAAAGAAGTGAATGTAAGCAATTAGTATAGGCAACCATACGACCTTCAACAATTAGAAAAACCTATACCGTATAGTTGGTTTTAAAAGGCCCCGACATAAAAATGTGAAACAATTCAAGCAAAAAAACCAACAGCCTGATTCATAACAAAACATTTTACGAAAAACAAATGTGACAGACATGAACCAACGACAACCACTGAACTACAGGCTCCTGAATTCTTGTTGTAAAATTTGAACTAGGTGATAAAATACAGCTGACTGTGCGCGATGCTCATGGATAATCAAGGTCGTTAAACATGCCTTGTAGTAGAATTTAGTATTTCTGCAGAGTTTATGAAAATTGGATACAATTGGTTTTTAAATTTAAAAAAAAATCCAGTCTTTAAAATGCTATCAAAATGTAAGAGTCTTAACTCATTTCACCTCTCATTCAACCAAATATTAAATTGTAGTTACAAGAGTCACATTACTTTTCCAAAAAAAAAAATAGCGGACGGAATAGAAGACACCTGTTTATGTTCTGCACCTGAATATAGTTGAAAACTGAGAGTTCAATGACATAGTTTTTAATTATTCTGAGATAAATATTAGAGTGCTCAAGTATTAGTTTCTGTGTAATGTTTTCGGGATCTGATGATTTTTTTTTTGGTTGTTGTCTTTGTTCTGTTATCGTGCAAATTTTCCACTAGTGGTCGATTACCCCGTTGGGTTCTTCGTACTTTTTATAAGCTGCGGAACCGTAGCTCTTAGGCCCTTATGATATATTTTTTTTACAATTTGCGGACCTCTACCTCTATGGTCTGCAAATTGTCAAAACATATCAAAAGGACATAAGAGCTACAGTTCCGCAGCTATGGTCCACAAATTGTTAAAAAATATCATAAGGACCTAAGAACTGCGGTTCCGCAGCTAACTTTTTATATTCATATAAATTATGTCCTAAAATGTTCAAGGGCATTAAAAATTTGTTTATTTGGTTATAATTTTGCTGTTCGGCGTTTTTACCTTCTGTTGATATAAACACAAGTCGTATTGTGTACCCTCTCCTGCATGTCTAAAACAACAATAGTGGTAATAGAGTAATGTTAACTAACGATAGGATACTCAGATTTCTGATTGGAGTCATTCTGGTAATTTCTTTGAAGTTTTGAGACAGCACAAGCATACTTGTTTGGATTCGTGATAGACCACACGAAGTAATTTCTCGTTCGTGTGCAATTTTTCCTTTCTTTGAGTAAGGGAGATTACTCGCGTAACTAACGACCCACGTTTTTCATCCCGAAATCCGCTAGAGGCGTGCAATTACGTATATTTCGCCTTAAGCAAATTTTTAAAGAAAGAAATTCAAGCATTAATGACGTAACTCAACTGATAATCATTGAGTCGATAGACAAGTAAATTTAGGCGAACACACAACAGCTATTAATGATAGAATATACTAAGTTAATCATTTAATCGATATTTTGTATGGCTCTCCTGATATTTGAATTCCATTTTTATTTCATTTCAGAAAGTTCATATCCTGTTTGGATTGGAGCACACGATTCTATCCAAGAATCAAATTTCTTATGGGAATCCGACAATACAAATCTTACCTTCACAGACTGGAGTCCTGGCGAACCTAACGATAACAGCAACGAGGATTGTGTACTAGTGATGAATGTGTTTAACTACAGATGGAATGATTATCAATGTTCAAATAGAGAATCATATATTTGTGAGAAAAAATGAAACTCATTATGCTTTACACACATTTGCATTTACACAATATTATAATAATAATACCATATGTATCATCACAGAAATATGTCAGTTATTTTACCAACATTTTTATTTGTATATTCCGATTTAGCCCTTTAAACAAGGAATCTCTAGGCATCAACTAGATGTAGATTTTTACGATAGATGCAGTTGAAGACTTTTACAGAAAATGGATAAAGCTCGATGCAAAAAAAAACCCAAAACAGAACACACCTGAATGGGTCTAAGCTGTTCGGTCATTCATTCCGTAGCACATTCAAATATACGATGGGCGATGAAAACACGGGTATCTAGTCCGTTGAAGAAGCCCCTGGTTAAGATATGGATGCTGTATCTTCTTTTCGTGACTAATTTTTGTTGTTCCAGCAGACAACAGTATTGATTTTGTATACGCTTTTTTTTTTTGCAATATCTAACTAAAGACTAATATTTGTTTTTGCAATATCCAATTAAAGACTAATGATTTTAAGCAATATCCAACTAAAAACTTTAATGTTCATAGCAAAACTGTAAATTTCACATATACCACTACATCATTCACGAATGAGGAGATTTTAGCAAATAAATAATCCGTCCTTCTCTCCTTAAGGTATCGACATAAAACACGTAAAAAGGACGATACTAATCTTCCGTATTTATACTGGATACGTAAACTTTAAAAAATATTTACATGAAGAACGATTTACGGCTTAACATCTTTATTGCGTTCCTACCTGAGTCTTTCTACAGTAAAAGATGGTCTTTGCAAATATTGTCATGAGGTATATGCAATCAACGGTATCCACTATGGAATGGAACATACACACATCTGCAGATCTACTCCAAATATTTAATCACAATCTCTATAAGTTTGCAATCAAATCAAATCTTTTATTATTTTACGCTTTATACGAATATTTTGCTTGCTCGATTGAATGATCGTCTACATTGTTTCTTTTAAACATAGCGTTCAGCAAAAAATCGAAATTGTAGTTGCACATTCATTGTTTAAGTGAAGGATAAATATTCCTTTGCGAAGAACCATACTTATTTTAACAACATATACACTGAAGATGATATCATACATATGCAAGGCTTTTTGATCGACACGACAGCATATGTGTTTGTTGATTGATATTTTAACAGACAGTCGGTTTTCCAATGAATGCTAATAGTGCAACACACTGACCGACTTGTTTTTGTTCTTATATGAAGCAGAATTCATAGAAAACCGTCAAGGGAAAATTCAAAAGGAGTTTTTTAACTTTTTTTCAGAGTATTGATAACGTTCGTTCATTCAATAAGCCTCATTTCAGCGAGTGTATGCATCACATATATCAAAGTAAACTTAGGATTAGGGATACTTACAATACTAGCAGGTCTGCTCCATATCTTGATGGATGGATTCAATCAAACAATGATGTCAACGTGCTGATTTCAACTTATTTCTCATTTTCAGCAATAACTAGTTTACTTTTGTTACTAAATGGAACAAATTCCGGGGCAAATTGTTAATTAGTTGAAAGTCACTTGACCGTGAAATATGGGGAAAGGCCCCGAAATAGTCGTCGAACTGATATGTACTGATAGTAATGCAACTTTACAGAAATTATCGTTGATCTATCACAGGTAGTTCCTATCAAACTAACTTAAGCAGAAAATTTAACATTGAAAATTGTTTATTAATTGAAAACAAACTGACAACGCCTTGGCAAAAAATAAAAAGACAAACAGACAAATAATATTACAGATGACACAACATAGAAAAGTAAAGACTAAGCAATACGAACCCCACCAAAAACTGGGGGTGATCTCAGGTGCTCCGGAAGGATAAGCAGATCCTGCTCCACATGTGGCACCCGTTGTGCTGCTTATGTTATAACAAATCCGGGAAATAGTCTAATTCGGTAGGTCACATTCGTGAAAAGGGAAGGGTATTGTAGTAACGACATAAGGAACATATCCGATATCATCTGTGAAACGGTTATTCCATAACGGTCAACCAATACGTGATGGCGTCCGTAAAATTTACGAAGGGATGATTTCAATTTCACCATTTGGAACTCTTGGTTTAATAGCTTTCTTGTGAGCAGCAATCCTCTATCAAGGAAATCGTGATAGGAAATACAAGCCCGGGAATATCGTATCAATTGGGAGATATATACTCCGTATGCAGGCGCTGCTGGAATGTTGCTACATAGAAATGGAAAGTTCACAATGGGGAAGCTGAAATAATCTCTTTTGTCGTAAAGTTAACATGTTAGGTGTTCAAACACCCGTGGATTTCAATATGTAAGGTATGAGTGTTTTATTGTAAAGTTATATCCAGTAATGTTCTGAAGCAATAAATCTATAAAATGTTATTTCTAATTACTTAATAAAAGATTCAACAAGTCAAATATAGAAAGTCTTTTCACGAATACTGCTTGTCACCTTTGTTTTCTTTTAAGCCATGCCGTTGTTAGTTGATTTTCGACTTATGAGTTCGAATGTCCCTATGGTATCTTTCGCCACCCTTTAACACTATAAGTCAGTCAGTCACAATCAAGTGTACCATTCATGTGACAGTTGATAATTATACATTATGAAATACAAGTTTTGATGTTCATGGCACTTGGTCTGCAAAAACCTTCATCCTGTCTGTGAGGTTGAAATATTTTTAAAACGATTTTTATTATTTAATCATGTGATGAACATTCCGTTGATCAACTGCATATCTGCCTAAATAGGATTTACTTATTTGCGGTAGTTCAATCATTGTTCGAATATTTAAAGATTAAATACACAGGAAAATTAGATGGTTCACAGTTACTGTTACCATGTCGATATGATCGTGTGATACTGTCTTAAACTTGAGTGCTTGCTATCGAACAAATTAAAAACTTAAGAATGAAAGGTTTTGGTCATTCGTTCCAGCATTTGACACTTATATAACTTAAACATTTTGTACTTGTTGTCTCTTAGAAAGAATGATGCGTATACAAAGGTTCGGCTGATTTATATATTGAATACAATGCTGCAATTTTGATCAAAGTATTGATAAGAGCAACTTTCAATCGTCTCTAATCAACGTCGTAGTACGATTGTCTCATTTCACTGTTAACAAGGTCACAGTACTGTCTTAAATGAGGGACGAAAGACACCAGAGGGACAGCCAAACTCATAGATCGAAAACAAACTGACAACGCCATGGCCAAAAACAAAAAGACAAACAGACAAACTATAGTACAGACGACACAACATAGAAAACTAAAGACTAAGCAACACGAACCCCACCAAAAACTGGGGGTGATCTCAGGTGCTCCGGAAGGTTAAGCAGATCCTGCTTCACATGTGGCACCCGTCGTGTTGCTTATGTTAAAATATCATCCGATTACATAAAATCTCCTTGAACGTTGATGAAATACGATATCTTATATGAGAGTCACTTGTATAAGAATCTGCTAACACTTTTTCCTTGATGTGTATCACACTGTAGATATCGATTACTACATGCGTATGTGTATCACTCTCAATCATATCGGTCCCCATAAACGTGTCTACTCCCCAATCGTGTCTATTTCGCCCAGAAGTGTCCACAAAATCATATATTGCCCAAACCTGTCCAATTCTTTTCCAACAAGCGTGTTTGACAACTGTTATCCGCCGAAACGTGCCCAGTTTATGACGAGATAATGTCGCAAGATTTTAAGCACTTATATGTCCTCAAATATTAGCAATATAATGGAATGCAATGCAACTGTCATACAAGTGAGAGGTTTAGCTACCTATAAAACCATAAGAAAATGCCTGTACCAAGTAAAGAATATGACAGTTGTTTTTCATTCGTTTGATGTGTTTGAGCTTTTGATTTTGCCATTTGATAAAGGAATTTCCGTTTTGAATTTTCCTTGGAGTGCGGTTTTTTGTTATTTTACTTTTTCAATGACGTCCGTAGAGTCGATGGCAAATTTAGTCAATAGATGTCGGGTTTCTGCTCAAGTCCAAAGGAAAAAAAACCGCTATCAAAGGCTATCATCGCAGATAAATGTTTGGCAAATTCCACAAGATTAAAAGAAAATAATGAGGTCAACTAAGAGAATCCAAAACGGAGACTTCGTAAAATTGCAGAAGATGTTTAAAATGTGAATTGAAGCTACATTTTTGTATTTTAAATGTGCAACTTTAATTCAATAGGCAAACAGAAGAACTATATTAATATCTGTGGAAAACGTACATAGTATAACAGAGATGAAAACAAAATTAATTTAGGAAATCTATCTGATACAGTGATCTGGCGTTCTGACAAGAGAATTTTCAAATGGGGCAGCGCCCGCACTTTTTCTTTGAAATCGTGTGCCAATTTTCCTTCAAATCGTGGAACTTTAATTCTTAAAAGAGCTACTATCCTTCGGTCTCCCTATTTTCAATAACAAAATAACGTTTGGGTGGATGTTACATATGTACTTATAAATGTCATTGTGTTTTTCATTATTTACAGATATATATTTCAGATTACATCATCAGGTATGTCCGAAATCAGTTTACAAGATTCCTGTTGGTCAATAAAATCAATTGAAATTAGTTGCAACAGTTGTATTTTGATCTTCCAACTGGTTTGATTCGAGTTCCAATGACGAGTCAAGAAGTGGTGAATTGTGTACAAAGTAATGAGACTGTTATTAGTTTTTACAACGTTGAGCTGATGCCACTGCTGGTGGACTTTTTATCCCCGACAGTATCAATAGTCTATGAAAATACCACTTTATATTTTTTGGCGTCAAGACGTCAACTCTCTTGTGCTGACTTGACATATCATTGATACGTCACTTTTCGGAAATTTTACTGCATGTTCATAAAACTTTGAAATCAGTCGAAATACTAAGGATATGTTCTTAGGCATAGATGGCCTTAACTGGAGTTTGCATTTCCCATTGGAACTTTCTGTTTTCAATTTTCCTCAAATTTATAATTGACTTGGTTTCCCATTTGTTTTGCCTCGATGGTGGGTCTTCTGAAGACTAAATGCGCATACATGTATATCGTAAGAAAATAAAAACCTTGTATATTTAATCAGGTTTTATCTATCCATTCAAATATCA